AATTTGGCTAGATTATGAGAATTTTGTCCTCAGCTTATTGCAGGTATCGTATACTTCCTGGTTCCTTGATGCTTTCAACTATGCTATTGCAACCAACATGGATGTGCTAAACTTGAGCATAGGTGGACCTGATTACTTGGATCTCCCATTTGTAGAGAAGGTAGGACTCCCATGGCCTGTGGATTTATTGGGGCTTAGGTGACAACTATCATTTAATCTTTTGGTTTTAAAAAGTGGGAAGTTGTGATAAAATGTTGGTATTAGTCTGCTCTGCTTTTGTCTTGCTATTTTTGGATGTTCTTGATGTTGTCGCTAATTTTGGTTCTTTTAGCACTTAGAAATGCTTCAATCATAATATCTCATTGCTTTATAAAAGCTGTTGAATTTCTGCAAGCTTTACGACTGTATTGAATGCATTTACTTGCCTCCATCAAGCTTCTTGGATCTCTTTTCAATTCCATGAACTGTGTCATGATCATTCAAATTTAATGAGATGACTTTCTCTTCTAATATTTTCATTTTGAAGAAGATTGCTTGTCTTTTTTGGACATTTATTTCCAAAGTGGGAAGGATCAGCTAGTGAGGTTACCCACTTTGGAGGTAAACCTTCCAATATTTGTGTGCAGATATACTTTCACATACCATTTTTTATTTAAAAAGAAGAAGAAGAAGATATCATGTGCTAAATCCTCTTTGGTTAATCTTTGCTGCTTTATGGTTCTCCAGGTTTGGGAAATCACAGCTAATAATATTATTATGGTATCAGCCATTGGAAATGATGGGCCACTTTATGGCACTTTAAACAATCCAGCAGACCAAAGTGATGTTATTGGTGTTGGTGGCATTGATTATAGTGATCACATAGCCTCATTTTCCTCACGTGGCATGAGTACTTGGGAGATTCCTCATGGGTAGCATATCTTTCTATTTATGATATTAATTTATATAGATTGTTTTCGCGCTTAGTTTTGAATCAATAAAGACATCACTACTACTCTTGTCGTTTTCCCTTTTTCTCCATTTCGACCAACTACGTAAGTTATTTATTGAATCTTTCTTTTTATTCAGTAAGTCTTCTAGCCCACAATCTTTTTCATGTTAAGAAGGAAAAAAAGGAAGCCTGCCTCTCCTGGCTACTGACTTGATTTATTTTGCATGGCCTGTATTTGCATTGATGACAGTGAAACTTAAATATGTTTAATTTTGGAGAACAGCTTCTTATTAGTGTAACCCATCCACTAGAATTTTTTCTTGTAAATGTTTCAAAGTGTAGGTATCACCATACGTAATCTATCCCTTCTTCTCAGTGCTGTTCTTATGAAGAATTTCAGTCTTTATACTCATGCTCACTTGTTTTTTTTTTTTTT